ATTTTCACAAAAATAGTCTAAAAATAAGCCACCTTCTTTATGCGTTTCGGTACTGTTTGGTTCTTTCTTTTCTGCTGTACCGTTTGTGGTTGTCGCACCACTACTACTACCATTGGTCGTTGTAGTCGCGCCTTGTTTTGCGGCTTCAGCGATAGAATTTTTCGAGAGTGCAGCGAATTTCGGCTGAATTCCGGCCAGCTGCTGGCCAAGCGTTGGCGTTACGAATGGTCCTGGTGGAGGCAGAGGACTCTTACCTGACGCTGCTTCCGGATCACGAGTGGTCAAACGACTCAATATTCTGCAACAATTTCTTCTTCTTTTTTTTTTCTGGCTTATTCAAAAGAACACGACTCACTCCATTACTGATCTTAATATTACCTCGTATTCACTCAATATTTCCTCTGCTCAATGAATAGAATAGCAAAAAGTAGAATCTCTAAATCAGCTGATAATTATCTCGTGAAAATTAGACGGAAAAAATTTTACGATTTCCTCAATCGTTAATATCATAAAATTAATCTTACTTAAATTCAAGCAATCAACAATGAATAACTTAACAAAACACACAACTCCGCAATCAACAATACAAATAAACTAACGATCTCTCGGTCATTCCTAAACGCTCCGTGACTGGACGTAATCGTGCCAGGGTTGCCGGTAAACGTGATACATCCGCCTTCATATCCGATAATAATTCTTCCAATTGATTCAAAACCTTAATTTGATCTTTATAACCATACAATGGAACTGTTATTAACAGCAACATAAATAATTGATCGCCTACAAATCAGTTCATTTTGACGTAAGTTTGACGCTCATCAAATCAGTTTCGAATAATGTGCTTCAGAACTGACTAATTGCAAACTCAACACACAACTATCTGATAGAATCTGAACGGTCTCTACGATAGCTCAGAGATACAGCGCATCCATCCACCAGTAACTAATACATCGAGGGTTCGATCCCCGGTGAAAATTTTTATTCCACACCGAATGATTCACTAAAATCACTGATAAAAAACAACACACTAACACAATAAATAATATCGAATATCAACAAAAAAGTTTAATATCAACCTTATGAAGGTTTACCTTATGAAGGACTGCATTCGCGTTCTTGTTGCCTTGCATACCCTCTCTGGCCAGGTGCTGATGACTTTCCGCTAGGCACTCGATGTCTGCAAAACGTTCGTTCAACTGCTGAGTTCCATCGTTATTCGACTGTGTCAAATTTAGATACGCTGCACGTCTCAATTGCTCTTCAATCACCAGCGCTTGCTCCAATAACTGAAAATTATCATAACTTTTGCCTGTTTCTGAATTATAACTTTTTTCTTTAAGTTTAGTTATAATCATTGCATTTCATTTCTTGATTGTGAAATTAGTTATAATTTAGTTACAACATTAAATATAAATACTGCAAAATTATCATAATTTGTATTTCTCTGATTGTGAATCAATTTTATTTTACGATTTTTATTTTATTAGTTAGTGAATCTATTTTATTAGTTAGTCATACATGCCCAGTCATACATCCTCTAACTTATATTCATTTCATTCATCGCAATGCTTAATTAATCCTTTAATACGAAACAAATTACAAAACGACTTGTCAACATCTAATTATCACTTATGATATTCACATGTTCTTTTTGTTTCCAATTAAATAACTTATATAAATACCTAAAAGATAGTTTATGGAAACAGACAAATTTATAGAACAACTCAACAAGAAGCTAACAAAGCTTCAGTAAGTTCTTCTACTATTTAAACTCGATAATGTACGCTGATAATAACCACCAGCTAGCATTCATTGATGAAAGAGAATCATCGTTCAAACGAACAAAATGGAGCTGAAAAAAATGATGCACCTTGAAACGGCGTTGAAGGAATTTGTTTTTAATCTCCAAGAAATTGCCTTTGCCTTGCTCAGTTCTGAACGGATCGTTGATGATCGAGAATCGTGGATCGTTCTGAATGTCTTGGTAACGACCATAACCATATCTGTAATCATTCTACGTTCACCAACCCTGACAATGATTCATCGATATGATAAAGTGATCAGTTTTAATCCTCTTCGCTTAACCCAAATACTCTTTTCATCGAATGTATCTTGCTTTTAAGGATCGAATCGTTCATATTAATTCTGATCATTGACTTTGATCCTTTCATCCTGCATTCAAATCTACTCTACAGAAACATTTCGAACACTCGAAATAATCTCCAAAACAACCGAAACAATCAAATCAACACAGTGATAAACAAATATCTTCCTAAAGCTTCATAAAACAGCACCATCGAACACGTAAACGCTTAAAGTTCTCCTTCTAATCTCCTTCTAAACACATCGCCAATGAAGTCTCGTTGCTAAGCAATGCTAAAATTACTGTCTGCGCAC